GATGGACAGAGTGAGATTGTCAATAAGTCTATTGAGCAATACTTACACCATTTTGTTCAGTACAGACAAGACAATTGGGAGAGTCTACAATGCATACCAATTGTTGAAGCTAGGTTGAAACTCATTGAAGACGTACAGAGGGAACTAACAAGTTGTTTAGAAGTCACACAGGAGAAAATGAAGACACAATTTGATCAACATGTAGAAGAAACACCAAAGTGGCAGATTGGCAATCAGGTTTGGCTCAATGGAAAGAACATATCTACTACTAGACCATCGCCTAAACTGGAGCACAGATGGCTAGGTCCTTTTCACATTATAGAAAAAGTATCAAACTCTACTTACAAATTGAATCTTCCATGCTCAATGAAGGGCGTCCATCCAGTATTCCATGTCTCATTATTACGAAAGCATCAAGTGGATTTAATTGATCAACAAAAGCAACCTGAACCTCCACCAATTACCATAGAGGGACAAGACGAATATGAAGTAAAGGAAATACTTGACAGAAGATCAAAATACAAGAAGAATGAATACTTAATCAAATGGAAAGATTTTCAATCAAATCACAATTCATGGGAACCAGAGATTAATTTAAAGAATTGCAACGAATCATTGATTGATTTTAATAAAAGATTTCCAAAAGAAGCCACAAGACAGAAAAGGAAACGGAGAAAGTGAGAGAGGGCATAGCTTTTTCCCACTGGGTTTTTTAACGCTGCCCAGGGGGAGATCGCAGAACTCGCAAGAGGGAGTTCAGGCGTTAAAAGGGGGAGAATGTTACAAACCTTGAAGGGTAACAGGCTGTGAAAGGATTGATGCATGTCACAAATGAACTATATGTTGTAGTATTTATAGCACAACAAGGGCTATACAGTGCTTTGAAAGAGGATAATCTGAAGATATAATAGATCTAAAGAAGGTGTCTGAGACTGCTCTTTCTGAGAATCTTTAACAAACTGGACTTTGTTGTTAAAGTCTCCTGATAACAGAGAAATATAACCAGGTCTTTGATAATAAGAGAAAAGTATCTTGATAAAAAGCACCAGAGAAATAAGCTCAACACATTTAAAGTGTTATTCCAGTCAAGTCAAAATGTTGAAAAATAAGCTCAATATCTTTTTGATATTATTCCAGAATGACAGTGTCATATAAAGCACATAAAACAAATTTCTCTTCTGATGAAGGGCTGATTTGAGTGACCTAGTACTGCTCTAATAAGTTTATAATGATAAAAATGATTAATGCTATGTAAGAGATCAAGAAGAAAGGAAACATGATTTCGCACAAAGGACACAAGCTTATAAACACATCAATACAAATTGTTAAAGTGGTAAACAGCTCTTAAAAAATCCTCTTTACCATCTAAAAAACCAAAAGATGACTAAAATGTTGGTAAACAGCTATGATCTAATGATTCAACCACTCTCTACATTCCTAAATTTCGCCATCAGTACCTCATCAACCCATTATGATCATTACTATGATGTAATGTGATCTTCTATTCATCATCTGATAAGATTTATTACTAATTTGACCAGTAAAACATGACTAATCTCTATTCTTATGATCAAATGCTGTGTATATGCTGTGTATATGCTGTGTTTTGAATGTTCTAGAATGAATATTGATTTGATCTTATGATGATTCAGCATTTCAATGATGTAATTGCTTGTTATTAATGATTTGTGATCTTGTTGATGTGTAATCAAATCCTTTGATTCCTTATAACTTTTGCCATACACCTCTGTTACTAATGATTTAAAGATTGTAAATTATGAATTTGATGAATCTGCGTTTAATGAACTATTACTCATCATGTTCTGACGTCATTTGACACATGTAATCAGCTGAAAACCTTCATTTGCGACTACTTTCACCTATTTTCTTCACTTTTCACACCTTTTACCAAGCCTTTCTTTCCTTCTGTAACATTAAACAGTAATCTCCAACCGTGAAAATCCCTAAAAACACCATTGGCAACCTTATTCATTACTAATACCACTGTTACATACGTAAAACTACCTGTAAACCCTTGTTTACCAACTTCGACTTTTTTCCATTTCCTTAATAACTTCTATTTTCTCTTATCAACCACCAAGATTAAAGTTGTTGCTGACTAAAACAATGCTCCTCTTTCGTATTATAACCCTACTAAACCCATAAACCTAATAATACTACCTGAAAAACCATTTCTCAACCTGTATACCTATATTTTCGAGTTTTTCTTATGTTTTTTTCTTTCTTTCTTTTTGTAATCTGTTTGTTAATAGTTTATACTTATCTTATTAAGTTTGTTTAAATGATAAAATGATTAAATATTAAACTATATTTAATATAATTGATGTAATTCAAAATTCGATTTTTTTTGATTTTTTGATTGGTCTCATAGATTGATTACCACAACGTATAACTATTGTATTGCGCCATGTTTGTATCTTTCCCTCATCCGACAATCACTTTAATCAATAGGATAAGGTGTTAAGCATCTTCCTTCATTCCCGACCCAACCGTGAGACCAGCCCATGACAATACTGCCAATCAATCCCGATGTACTCTATCACACTACACAAAATGTAATATTTACCGGGCGGTAAAGAAAACTACTGACATAGAAAAATCCTGAGGCAACAGGAAGAGAGCTAAAATCTGAAAAAATATGCACCTTGTTCTTAGATGTTGGGCGTCCTGATGAGTATTTTTTTGTATTTTACACACAGATATTGGTTAATGTACTAACAATGAAGGCTGAGAATCATCAAAAACCCACCTGTAACAATACCTGAAATTTGGCCCATGATTTTGAAGACAGGATTTTGAAATCTTCAAACATCAATACCTTTTGCAGTTCTGAATCAAATCACTCAATTTTGAGTTCATCAAAAAGGTGGGTCTTTCCTCTACATTTATGATTGAGACATCACATCTGTAGCTGGTCTTCAAAAGATCCTACAGAGCTACTTATTCAGAACTGTTTGAGCATATGTAGAGCGGTTACATGACTAAATAAAACCTTACTGCCTTTATGAAATGTGAAGGAGAATAGTTCAGCTTTTGAATGAACCAAAAATCAAGTTATTTGGAGCAGAATTTCAAAAGTTATTGAAGCTTTTAGACCACAAAATATTATCTTCATAATCATGACCCAAATTTCAGGTATTGTTACAGGTGGGTTGTTAATGATTTTCAGCCTTTATTGTTGGTACATTAACCAATATCTGTGTGTAAAATACAAAAAAATACTCATCAGGACGCCCCAACATCTAGGAACAAGGTGCATATTTCTTCAGATTTTCAGCTCTCTTCTTGTTGCCTCAGGATTTTTCTATGCCAGTAGTTTTCTTTACCGTCCGGTAAAGATTACATTTTGTGTAGTGTCAATTCATAATATGGGCAGTTCCAAAGTTACCCAATTCTCCTCATGACATTGAAAGCTCACCAATCAAGTCTGGCACGATTTGAACTTACTTGTCCAGAATCAAGGCCTGGCACCTCTACCATGATTTCTAGTACCCGCATCACGCAACCCCAAGGATTGAGCTTATGTTGACAATGGCAAAGAAGTTAAAACTGATTGGGAAGGAGAAGTTGGTTAAAAATCCAATACTCATAAAACACTTATTTGCTCTCTTGGAACAGTTGTTGGGAGGAAGTTTAGAGAATCAAACGGCTTACACGGTAGCCTTGGTGGCATTTTGGGGTATGGCCCGCTTAGGGGAGTTGTTGAAGCACCCTAACGCAAAGGACCAGGTCCAAATCAAGGACCTTGTGTGGGACCCCAAATGCAAGTACCTCATGATTTGCATTCAAGCTGCAAAGATAGTGGCGCTCAGGGAAATTCAGGAGATACACCTCCGGAAACAGCAATCCTTACTCGACCTAGTAAGCATGGTTCAATGTCTCATCTCGTGCAATCAAAGCACAGAGAACAACACACTCTTCTCATACGTGGTGAAGTCAAGCAGAAAGATCTGGACAAAGTCGAGGTGTCAAACAATCTTCTCAAACGTATGGAAATCATCTGCAGAAATTAAGCTCACCGGCCATTCCTTCAGGGTTGTGGGAGCATTGCTACGTTGGAACCTTGGCTGCAATCTGAGTGACATTGTGGCTATAGGCAGGTGGAAATCAAAGGCCTATCAGCTTTACATCAGAGAATATAGTGATTTAGACTTACTCAAAACACACCACCTCCTACAGCAACTAATGACATAGTAATGATACTTGATGACAATGAGGATCGTAAGTCATAGAACCGTGTGGTAGCCGCATAACTCACTCCCTACCTGCTCCTGGGGGATGTAAACAACCCGGCCCATAGTGGATGGGGGTTCTCAGGCTCAGGACTATGTCCTGAGTCGAGGGGAAGAGCACCCCATCTACAAGGCCCGGTTGTCCTACCCCCCCGGTACCTTACGGACGGGGGGCACCCCCAAGAAACCTAACAAACCCCCTAACAAGCATAAGTTAGGTTTGTCTACACCACAAGGACATGCGCATGTCCTAGGGACAACCGGTTATCATTGCAGGGGGAGGGACGTCCTGACAAAACTGATCCAAGGAGCCCGGATCAGAACCAAAATTTGGGACATCCCACAGGCTTCCAAAAGTCTTTCTATTGATTCTAAATATGGGGTCCTCATGGCGCCTGTATGTGCTGCACTGACAGCTCCGCATTGGAGTGAAATGTTGGGGGACTCTGCAGTCATCATGAGGATATCTTGTACTCAACTCAAGGACCGATTGTAGCACCACATTGTAAACACGATATCTCTGGTCTAGGCTGTCAAAGGATGGGCTTCTCACTCTCACACACCTTCAGACCAAGGGGATAGCTTCAAAGAATTTTGTGAGAGAAAATTATATTGCATTTCAATGCTGTTAAAGGATACAACAATGGAGACTTGGTATTGAAGTTGAGAGGTATAAAATTAGTGACAATGATATCATGAACGCAAAGCAGTGGTCTCATTCAAGACAGGATGAAGCATGACAAGACACTACATGGTTGAATCATCGAATGAATTAGAAGCCATCATAAAACACTGATAGACGGTTGAGAGCAACTTACAAAGGCAATGAGCGAGTTGGATGTCTTTGGGTTGAATGGTTACACATCTGGTGTGAATGACAGCCAAGTTGATGTCCTCAAAGAGGCTAAAGTTTCAAAATCGAATCGATATCAGCACAGTGACAAATGAGAGAGAAAGGTGAACAAATGAGATAAGATAAGCTTCAGACAACTCTCAAAGAGCACCAATGGCAGAATATAGGAATCAAAGATCTGTCTTGAATTCTTGAGCAATCTCACAAACAAGACATTGAGATCAAATCGGTCATATGAGGATAAGCTTAGGCTGCAAAGACGATAAGGAAAAAATGCTTACGGAAGTTGGCGAATAAAAGACTCGACTTTATCACCGGTAGATTGATGTGTGTTTGCTAAAGGGGGACAGCATTGTAGTCGGTGGTAGTCAGATAAATCTTAGAGTCGAGTGGATGGAGAGAAATAGAGTGAGATGATGAGAGGGGAGAGGAACAGGGCGAGCAATGGGTGGTGATTAAGGCATGGACCCGGCCTCAGGACACCCGGAACGGTCCTGGTCCGGGCCCGGGCTCGAGCTTTGACGGCCCATTAAAAATGCTCTCGGGCCCCAGAGTAGTGTGCTCACGGGCCAGCCAAAAGGGCACAACCAAGGGATTATGGGGATGGAAAGTGGTCTTGAGATGCTCAGAAGGATGGGGGGAGTACTGATTATGGCAGAAAAGGGAGTTTTGAAGGCTATCATGGCCGATATGATCCTCCAAAATCAGGATTTTGCCCGATGCTGAGCCACACAGGCGATTTTTTTGTATTGCCGGGCCGGGCCGGGCTAGCCCAAGCAAAATAGGGGCCCGAAATGGCCCATTTTTTGAAGGCCGAGTCAGGCCGCGTCCAAGCCTTAGTGGTGATGATGAGATTTGATTGAAGTACACATCGGTTGGGACTTTGTGAGATGGGGAAAGTGAAGTGGACTTGTGAATTTTGAAGCTTCCTCCCTCCGATTTCTTCCGCTGGTTGTGTCTTTTTTTCTAGAAGTTTCCTTCAAGTGGCACACGGACCTCCCAAACATCATCATTTGGAAATGTCCTCAAAAGGATTAGAGAAGGGGGACTGTTGAGGATGCAAATTTCACGGACAACCTGCTGCACACCAGGCAGCACCTGCGAGATATCCGGATCTCAGGTATTGTGACTCGTGAGGACATCTAGGCTTCACTCTGAAGACAGCCTCAACGGGAATGTCCACGTCCGGCTGAGAGCTGGGGCTCTTATCAATTGACCAAGATCATAGAGTCCTCACAACATCCTGAGAGTGCGCAACAGATGTCAGCGCTCCAGGACGCCCAACGGACACCCCGATTGAGGACGCGGAGTCAAGCATCAGGTTTTGGACGGCTCGGACATCCTTCTGATCAAATGTGTCTTTGTGGTGTAGGGCAAACCGGTAGACTTAAGAAAGCAATTCAAATATTATTATGAACTGCTTCTTGCGCACAAAGAAAACCCCTTCCCAGATAATCCATAGCTGAATTGAGTGGAAGGGGGGGAAAACACTCAAAAAATTGTAGACATGACACGAATACCTTGAATAGCTGTATAAGCTTATAAACATTACCCACCACATTACCTGCAACAAATCGAATAAAAACTGTGATGTTGCGTACGTACGCAACCATCTCCTGGAATAAATGAGCCAATACAAGTCATAGTGAGAAATGGACTCGTGTGGCGGCGGCGAGACGTTGAGCCGCTCTGACCCAGCGAGTACATATTTCTCTCTCCTTGACCGGCTTTGAATGGGCAATTTTTCACTCGATTTTCACTCTCACAAGTTAAATCATCCTACTCAACGTGCTTCTTCGCCTTTTGCTGTACTCATCATGCTCCGTATCTTCCTCAAGATTGCCTTCCTCCTCTACTCCTTTGAGAGTCATGGCCTGAATGCCAAGAAGCCCCTCTATACAGTCACCTGTAACGGAGGGTTTTCATCTTACACGGGCGGTCATTACAATAGAGGTATGTATGTGTTTCAATTTTCGTCCCAATTCTTACGACTCCAGAACAAGTGACGATCACTGCTAATGCGAAGTTGATTTATACTTCCTCACATCAAAAGCATGCAGGCTTATACACGATGGAGAAAGACATTACAACTGCAGAATCGAAAATTGCTGGGATGATATTAAAAGTATCTTACAACCCGATCCTGATAACACTTGATATATCACATTATAAATCTGACTATAATCGGGCATCTTTTTATATTATTCATGTTAGAAAATCAATGGGTTCCTTTCAATCGCTGCCAACTCGCCAACTCTCCAAACAAGCAGCTATCGAATCAACAATGCTCGTCATATAATTATAGGGGAAGTGACTCCGATGGAAAGAGCAAGGGTTATGGTCAGTTTCCATAGCCTCGAATCATACAACCCTGATAAGATGCCTGATTTCTCTTCCTCATTTGAATCGGTGAACTTTAGATTGTACCACCGCCGGAGGTGTGCAATATGTTTGCCCAGACTATGCTCCTGATACTGTGAATTCCTTGAGTCAGTGGTATTTTTTCCTCAATCAAGATTGAATTTACTGAAGACTATCTCTACTTTCAGCGTGCGAGCATTGCCGTGCCGGAAACTGGTAGATTCTTGAGACAAACAAAACTTTTGGGAATCTCTCAGTAACTTAAAAGTAGCGCAAAAGCAAACCCTTCACGACTCACGCGATTGATGTGGTGTCTTACCTGAATGCTGGAGGGTTGACTCCACTCAAACTACTCGCTTTGCACACCTTTCTGTGTCTGTTGTTGACAGCTCATTCGTGTTGTTTGTGACCCGAATTCAAAGAGCTGTTAGTATCAGGTTCTGATGCTGGTTTTAAGTTTTAAGTCCTTTGGGCCGCCAGAACCGACTAATGTGCGTGTAGACCACATTCTGCAGGTGCTCAGCTCTCTCAGCATCTGAGGATCAGGTGTAAAAACCAAGTGTATCGAGACCCAAATTCAATCAGATCAACTTTCAGACTTTCTCGCCGGCAACGGGAACTGAAGTCGATAGCAGTTCCATCCTGTTACACTTCATGTAAGAGCGTCACCTACATCATGGATGTGTTTTGCCCGCCTACAGGCGGTCCTGCCAGGCTAACGGGAGGCGGCCTGCCCTCTTTGCAACAACTGGCAGCCTACCGTTAAAGTATTTTAATAAAACCCAATTCTGCCGTATCATCATCTTTACATTAATGACAATTCTATAAGATCACTCAAACATTGACTGACTGATTACAAAGTTTTAAAAATCAACAATGCTTTTCAACGTTCTTTTCTCATTCACCGTCTCTATTTTTTCCCCTTCAAAAGGCAACAGATCGATATAATAACAAGTAAGCTGTAGAATCTTCACCTCCTCCGTCCAATGTGGTGATCTTATCACGTTTAACAACCGATACCTTATCATCATCAAATTTACTATTCGAAAATTCAACCATATTAACTTCGATTGGTTGGCTGTAATGGTAGCATGACGAATGAAAATTTTACTTACTACCACTCTTGTTGATCGGGGTCTTCAAACTCCTCAGGTGAGGCCTGGCTCGATGAAGCTTGGTTTAGGTTCGGATTCGCTTTAGCACTATCACATCTGACCCAAGCCAAATAGTGTCCTGATAGAAATATATATATATATCATCCATTAACATCATGTCCGATAAGAAAAATATTTGAAAACAAAAAAACAAACCTCCATCGGCGGAAATTCCTTTATGAGTCACGATTCCACAGAGTTCATATTGACCTGTCACATTTGATCCAACGTCTTTGATCAAATCAGGATCAACCAAGCTGTGCAAAAGCGCGCGCTCTGTCTCTCTAAGTGTTCCCTCATCTTCGTCCACATCCATTTCAGATGATTGCGCAGCTTTACTTGAAGCACTAGCCTCGCCAGTCGCTGGCGCAGTAGTCGATTCAAGACTAGCCGACTGTGTCTCTTTAGCAGCTTCTTCCTTTGCAATCTTCCTCTTCTTCTTAGTCTTGATACGCTCTCTTCGATCTTTTTCCACATCCTTGATTTTACTAGCTACCGGTCCAACCTTGGCTTTTAAATCGTCGGTTAATAAATCCGTGAGATCCAAGTTGAAGGGAAACTTCACTTTTCGCATGATCTTCGTCTTTTTCGCAATATCTCTTCTCCAAAAGAATCGTACCATATGAACAGTCAAGTAGCTAAATAAAATCATTCACCACAAATTATCAGATTGGCAGAAAAACAACAAATCGACCGAAATTAAAGGACGTACGATGGTAAGCGAGAGATTTTGGAGCTTTGCATATACTGCGCTGATCGACCTAAACTAGGACTGTCTTTTTGTAAAGGTTGTTGAAGTCCATCTTGGATTCCGGTGATCAAGTAGTTGGTAGAGATACTAATGTTACATTTCAGCTCGAGCCATTTCTCCTTTTGGATAGTCGGAGGTTCATCAGGTGCTTCAATGCATTTGGTCCTTGAATACCAAAAAGCCTCATTAGTACACTCATCTTTCAGTTCATCAAATGATATGGATGATGACTTACTCAGTTGTCATCTCACCGGCCATGAACCGATCAACAAACTTGCCATCAATCCCATCGCTAGTATCCAAAGTACTTCGAACAGCACCGATGATTTGACCCCAACACTCTTCAGCATCCTGTTGAGCAAAATGGCCCTGAGTTTGTTGAGCAAATTGTGGTGCAAAGGATCTCAAGGTTCTAATGAGATCAAAGGGTGAATAACTATCGGTGGTTTTACATAGATCCTTGTACGTATCACGTAACGAAGAGGTCAATGCAGAATCCTTTCGTAAAGCATCAGATGATGATCCCTTGAATCTATGCGAAATCATGATCAGTCCTTGATAATAAGCAAAAGATAAAGCTTGAACATGACAAACTCGTTCAAATTAGCCTGAAGCTCAGGGATAGCTCTCAACACCTGCACAGTGGAGTTGAGGTAACAAGTATTACCCATATTCTCCAGTCCAGCTGGGAAAGTGATCTATAAGAAGAAGAGCTTAGTAAGTATGAGATAACCACGCCTATTGATCCAAAACAAATCAAAACGTACCACTTCAGCTAACTGAGTGTCGGTCATATCTTCCATGAACACAATAGGTTGAGAAGGCGCCTTAGGCAATTCGCCCGCAGTACCAATGACCATAAATTGATGACCCTAACAGAAATTGAAATATGATCAAATACCCAGCACATTTTCCAATGTAATCAAAAACTAATCAAGACTTACGGGCTTGACACCCAACTTCGACCAATCTGAGTCATCTTTTAGTTGTCCGCCCTTGACCAAGATTTTCTGCTTTGAAGGTTCTATGAAAGATGAAAAGGATAAATAGTTCAGATAGAATAAATATGGAGTTAAAGATGATCGGCAATCTCACCTACTCCGGTAAGCCGATAAACCGATTGTTTGAACGCTGAAGGTGGTTGATTGATATCCAAGTCAAGGTCATATTTCTTACCAGCATCTTAAACGAAAAAAAACAGATCAAGATTAGTTCAAATTCATGTTCCAATAAGTTAATGAATTGCTTTCTTTTGATTCTTACGTTTGATTGATACTGAAAATGCCATGATGGTGGAAGTGTTGAATGATAGAAAGCTTCTTTTTCAATTTCCTCAAAATGATGGTGGTGACGTACTAAACCTCGATCTCTTTATAAACATATCTCCCGCGCGAGCTTGTCACGATATTCTAATAGCCGGACATCCGGCCCCGTATCAATCTTTTACGGCGGTACCGGCAAATCGATCAACAGAAATCCCTACTTCGCAAGCTATGACCTCTCGAAGATGTCTCTGTCAAATTGGAACTAATCCGTGCCTCTAGACAAAATCCACACAAGGCTTGTTCCAATTTGAGCTTCCAATGACCATGTAAACACAAATACCAGTAAAATTGACAAAACGAACAATTGCGGGATACAAACAGGTCTCAAAGTGTCCAGGTAAATAAGCCAAGGCCACCAAACAAAGGTGTTGAGAGAAAACTTTGGCACTTTTTCATCTGGATTTGAGTAGATTAACCACCATAGAATAAGCCTAGATATATCATCAGATAATTGGGTCGGAAGATTTATTAAGGGTGTGTTCACTTGAAGAATTTCTGACCAGAAATCACAACCCGTACATTCTTTAATGCAGAAATGAATCACGCACCACCAAATAGACACTTTAAATTTTGCAGAATGCAATTTCTCACCAGAAATTAAGTGAATGCACCCTCAATGTCCTCAGTGTCATTGTCAACAAGTTGAACAATCACCAGTTCAATCCAGATAAGCTATAGCCAGCTGCATATATTTCTTTAGGATTGTAAGACTCGAGCTCTTGTCCAATCCAGATTTTCAGAATTATGAATCCTTTCAAGATTTTTTTGAGCCATTGAATTTAGCACAAACAATGTCAGAAGCCTAGCTCTTGGTTTTACAAAATTCGGTGCATCAAATCTATACCGTTTTTCTTCACAGATAGGTTAAACATAAAATACAAGTGATTAAGTCAATGTTGGTGATTTACCTGATGTGATCAATCATGACTCTTGATAAATCAAATCATAATGACCTGGTCTATGAACGAAATCAGAGCCATAATTAGTAAACCCAAGGGATTTGAATCTGTCAAAAATGTAAGATACCTACCGATATAGTAAGGCAACATCAGTCCATGAATCTTTTACTTCAACACCTTGAGTTTCAAACCGATGAAAATCAACTGGAAGAAGTTTCAAATCATTTGAACTCGTATCATTCACATGACCAAAATGACTGGCTGAGAGATCTAGATAAGCAATTGATAAATCTACTTTTAAACATCTTGTAAGAGCTGTGATCGAAAGATGATCTGCATCTTTATCTACAGCTTCAACATCTGTGAACAGAAAAAGATCACCATGTGAAAATGATAAGTGTACAGAAAAGATGGTTTATGTTCGATTTGAAAAAATGAGAGAAGACTGACAAAATTGACAGAATTCAATCAGACTTGGTGCACCTATGAAAACCAAAATACAATCAATCAGCTCAATTCGAAAAAAAATCATTCATTCGATTGGCCATCATCCATACGAACTCACCAGCTGGAAACCTTTCATAATCTTCTTCAAAACTAAGTAGAAATGGTGCAAAATCATCCTCATGAGCTTTAAGATAAGCAGAAGTTAAAAGTCTCAAGAAGATGATAATATTAGCACAGGTTTCTTGATCATTAAATGCGGTTAAAAGTTGTTCGATTTTGTTGATTTTTCCTTCTGAGATTGATGTTAAAATGCTTTGAAATGGTTCCCAAAAATCTTCATAAATAATCTTCTAAACTCGAATGAAATTGAATCATCAATTACTCTTAACCACTTCTCCACAAGATCAAAAAGTTGCAGTGTAGAGAGATGTATGAGCTAATGACTTACTTCATAACCAGCTTGATCTAGCAATGGAAGTAAACCTTCAAATCTTGATACCATATCTTTAGCACGATTCTGATTAACTTCACTTCCAACCGAATCACTTTCACTCCTCAAAACCGCACCCAAAACCGAATCACCTTCAGAAACCAAAAGTCTTTCACACAATCCATAACCAAAAGCTCTATAAAAACAATTCCCATCACCTCTTAATCTACGAAAAGATGTCCATCTTTCATTTTTCAACCAACGTATCTTTTTAACATAATTCATGATAGAAGAATCGTTGGGTGTGGATTGTTCATATTCGTTCTGTAAGATCTCGAGTGATTCGAGCTTTGAAACTAATGGTTTTGATTTTGATTCTTGATCTTTGATCTATATACAAAAAAAAGTGATCGGTTAGGTTTTTGGATATCTTGTTTCTTGGGGTCATCGTTAGATGAGTTAAACTTAGATGGACTAACTCCTTGTGTCAATTCCAAGATTTGTCGATCGGTCAAATCCGAAAGCTTTGTATTCACATCCACGGTAGTCTCTTCTGCTGCCATGTTTCGTTAAACCGGTTTGATGAGCTATGAGTTGAACTTTTAGGCCAAGCGGTGTGATTTGAGCTGATCGAGAGTCAATACACAAAAACTCAACTTCCTTCTCGGTATTTTGCTTGCAAGAGATTACGTCATCGCCTTACTTTTTCGATTCCGAGAATTTAAATATGAAACTTGAGCCATAAAAGCCATCGAACTTCAGCTGAGTCAAGGATGAGCCCTCCTTGTAAGCTGAAGAGCCTCTAGTCCTACCAAACCATGATACTTAAATCACAATGTTAAAGATCATTTGTCTACGATCATAAATGTAGTTCATCAACCGACATCTTCTATTTCTGAGCCCAAGTGATCCTTCTATGATGTACTTTCGAATACGAAAATGAAACCACTCCAAACATACAATCTCCGATAAGAAATTAAGATCAAATATCAAGGAGTTCAAAATATGCTATGTACAACAAGACTTTATGTAGAGAAGCTTTTGGACGATCAAGTTACTTGGCTGGAGAATAGATTGATGAGGATTTCTTTGGTTATCAAATAATAAAATATACCTATAAAGTAGAATCATAAGGATAATAAGATAAACCTAATGCAAATGGTATGTTGTAAGTCTTATTGGTTTTGTTATCAATTTCGTTGGATTTTGAAAAGTTTTTAAGGACTTCTCTTCGTAAATGATGTTATCTGTCAGACATCTTCATTAAAACCCAAAAAAGGATCATATCATCTGTTTTTACGATTCCAAGCCACCCATTTCGGAGTTCAAGAACTTCACACGATAACAACAAAAGTTGATGTTGTACTAGTCGCGCTCAGTGACAGTAGGCTAAACTTGGTTGCGTGGGCTCATGATTGATCAACACATCCGATAAGACTTGTTGGTTCAAGTTATCATACTAATGCCTGAACAACTCAACAAATTATGACGGTGTAAGTATGACACTTAAAGCTTCATCCAGAGCTTTTGATGGGGCCGACGGGCGCCGTGAGGGCAATGCGTGATTGCATCCTCGAGTTCCGTGTGCTGGGGTTTCCTAGATAAGATGATAAAGCCAAGGGGTTTCTGACTATTCCTGGCATTAGGCAGAGAATTTATCGTGATGATGTTGATGGGCAATACACCCCATTTTGATCGTGGATGTGTTTTGAAATATAAACACAATGATAATTGATCATACAAAAAATGTGAAAGACAAGTATGCACACATCCAACAGGCTGACACTATGATTTTGAGTTTGTTGGCATAATTGCATATCATTCAACCTATTTGGGTATCCATTCCACTAATCTTCTCATGATCAGTCGGATTAGCTTGAGCTTCATAAATGGCTATGACTGGCTTGCGAGACAGCTGTTGAGGAATAACTCTCAGGTCATCAACTCTATTGTGCCCAACTAGCTTTCAGATTACTCACTGCGCTAAATTCTCCTTTGAACCCAAGAAAGTAAACTCGTGTCTTGAAACCTGATGGATTACCATTGATGAACAAAATTAAAACGCTCACCAATGAAAACTTAGTGACACTGATGTCATAGAAATTTTGTTTAGCTCCTCACTTGAAGAATGTGATGTAAAAAACAAGACTATTTTGAACTGAAGTTTTGAGAGGAAAAAGATAGCAAGACTTGTGCAATAACTTTTTTTGTTTTTAGTATTTTTTGTTGGATGACAACAATCACACGGGATTACAATGAGTTGTGAGAGAGGGGAAAAAGAGTGAGAGAAACACTTTGGCTGAGAGAACGCAAAAGGACTGTCACGAATCCTCCCATTGGGGTGAATGTTGTATTGCCATTTTTGATGCACATCTTTTGAGATGCGTGTCCCACACCTCCTTCCTTGCCTGGGTGTCACTTGTCTTACACATATTCCATTATGTTAATACCCAGTACCAACTTCAATGAATGAGAATCTCAACTCTCATTCAATTTTGCCAATTTTAGAAACTCATCAATCTTAAAGAACACTGCATCTTTGCCCTTGTTGTTTCCTAATGAGCTTGTGACTTTTATTCACATCCTCATTGTCTCATTTTTCAATCAAAAAAATCACAGCAAGTCCTGAATTTTTTGAATTTTTGACCATCACCTCAGCTCAGTCTCTGATGATTGCTTCAGTTGTGTACAATGGTGTGGCAAGTGACATCCTATTGGCACTGAAGTGTGATGGATTTGACTGCAAACATTTGTTTCTCCTCCTTTTCTAAACCCTTGTGAGCTGTGTCCTGTTCTGAACCCCATACACATCTAACATCACGATGCAATTCTTTTGCACCAGGTGTAGATCCAGTCACAGAACTGTAAAGAGAATTAAAAGCCTACCAAAACAAAACATAAGGAAATTAACAATCTTGAACTTTGCTTGTGGATCAGAATTTGTGCCCAGCTTACCATGATGAGCAATGTATGAAGGACTAAAAACTTGGCTGGCAAAAACTCGTCTTTGAATCCTTCCCAGCCATAGAGAGCATAGATTCCAATGCCATGGATTGTGATAGTTGACAAAAGATGATATGGATGGTAAAGAAGAATGAAGGCCACCATGTAATCAAAAATCACAGTAGTTCTGTAATGGTTGTCAAAAAGAAAAGACAAGTGCACATTAGTGTGAGGTGAGCCATGGAGTATTGTAAGAGCATCCACTATCGTTTCAGTAAATTCACTGTAAATTTGCTGTACATGTCTGTAAAGTACAGTGACCGTACGTTGTAGAACTCCTACGCTGTGTGGCGTCGGCTGAGCCGGAGAGGGGAAGAATCACCGCAGAAAGAATAACAAGATGTGGGTGAAACTATGATTGTTGTAGACTGCCCTCAACCTTGAAATAAAAGTTCAAAAATAAAAAAAAGCAAGGAAGCAACTCTCTAACAACTTTCTACCTGCACAAGTCTAACACGTAACACTATTCTGATATTTCTAAAGAACCGCAAGATCTGGCGGATTACAATGATATACCACACAATACTACACAAGGTTGTGATGTAAAACTATAGCCGCGTTCAAACCTGACCCGGTTTCAAAAAACCCAGTTGACCCGGTGGACTTTTTGGCTGGAAGCTGTCAAGAACTGTCAATGGATACACAAAGTTACCACCAGAAAAGCAACTGGGTAACCGGGTTTTTGTGTCAACCGGGTCAGGTTTGAACGCGGCTTATGTTGAATTCTAGTTTTATTGTAATTCTTGCTACGTGTAATGAAAAATAAAAAAAAAATTGATATTTGAAAAGCCCTGATATAAAAAAACCCCGGCCCTGAGCTTGAATCCAACCAACTGACAACCAATCTATGACAAAGCTCAGCAACAACAAATATCACAGCAACAAAATTTCACTCGAGATACCACAATAACTATCCCTTTCAAACAACAACACTCTTTTGATCAATGCTTCAACAATGTAAACCTCTCTTTTCTATCTTCCTTCCTTCTTCACTAAGCAAAATAAATAAAAAAACTAACGAGATCAATTTTAAACGGTCAGAATAACTAACAATGATTTTCTAATTCTTCGATAGGATGCACAAAAAACTCTTATACGCTCCCAAGGACGCAAAGACACAACCAAAACACTCAGACACAGATCCAAACACCAATACAATGATCAAACACTAGCACGCTTTCAAGAAATAGCTCTCGAAACCCTTCAGAACACTTTTAGATGCAAACACTTTTAAAAAAAAACACTTGATGATCCCTTGGATGGATCACAAAAAAGAAAAAACACACCAATTCCACAAAAACAAGACCAAAAAACGAGACCGATACATTTAAGAAAAAACCTCCTGATCACTCCCTCCTCCCTTTCCAATTTCGACTTCATCTCCGATCGGGCCTCTATGTTCAAATCACGACATCACCGGATTCACTTTGATTTTTGATTTAGTTTTATTTCAAAACAGCTAAGTACCCTGTTTTTACTGCTCATCCTTTTATTAACTTGTTCATGATCTGTGCTGACTCCCTTTTTTTTCTTTCTTTCACTCATCTCTTCTCTCTAGTTGTTTAGATTTACCTCCAGGACCTCTCGATCGCACTCCATCCTCAATCTTCAGCTCGATCTTCACACCATCGATTTACAATGTAAGTTTGATTTCTTTTCTCTTCTTCTACACTATCCCATCCTTGACTTTATGTATTTAGATTTCGATTTTGACATCATTTAAGTAAGTTTCTTTTCCCATTCACTTCTTTGTTTGTTCTCATACTGACTCCTTTACCTCCTTTCTTTCTTTGTTTCAATATCTTTCCTTTCGCTTCTAGGTGACTATATGATTCATTGAAACAGAAACAAACTTCAATTGGACCCTTTTCCCGATTGATCTTGATTTCCTTTCATTCGCTCATTTCATTTCGATTCCAATGAACCAATCAAGATCACGCCATCTATCCACCTCATTCAATTTCGATTTCAGCTATACATCTTGAACTTGATGTCATCTTTTAGCTTTGGACCTCAAAATCGATCTCTTGCTTAATTAATTCTTTCGATCTGGACCCTTGATTTTGATATTTTGAATCTAGAACATGCTTTGGTTAGCAAGACCCTCAAAATCAAACTTTTATTCTATTTTAATTTTGATTCTGACTGTTGATCTCCTGCATCTTGTCTTCCCTTCACTCATCTTACTCTCAATCTAGCTCGATCTTGACCATATCTGAGGTTGATGGACTCTTTGGTCCCCAAATCAAGATTCTTCTTTAAACTTTTACTGACTCTTTTTCATTTAATTTATTCATTTCTTTCCTCGATCATCCTTTTAAGTACCCATCGACCGATCTCCACCTCACACAATTTGGTTTTAACTTCTTATCACCTCATCCCTCTCACCCCACACTGATTATTCCTTTTTTATCTTTGTCTCCTCCCTTATTCTCATCTCGTTTCTGATTTAAATTTGATTATGTATTTATTTATTTTAATTCCTTTTATCGACTTTATTTTAAATTCAACTATATAAAATGTTCTTTATTTAGTGTACTATCTTTCAATATGCTTCATA